ATTTAATATTAGGTTGATTGAAAATTAAATTTATTTATTTACTTTCTATAAAGTTATCCTGATATTATAACTTAGTAGTATAAATTAAAAAAGATGATGATTTTACTCTTTACCACCTCACAAAATACTATTCATTTCAATAGTTTTTTTTTTGTTGTTCATTTGGGTTTTTTTTCTTTCTAAATTTATATTTTTTTCTCTTATTTCATACTTTAATATTTAATTTATTGAAAATTAAGTTTTATAATTTATTGTGATTTATTTTATAAGTTGTTAGCTCGATTTTATAACTTGTGTCATATGTTTAGCGGGTTAACTTGATCTTTTTTTTTTTTTTTTTATCTTTTTTATATTGTTTTTAATTTTATCCTTTAATATTGGGTTGATTGGGAATTACACTTCATAGTTTATTTTGATTTGTTTCCTATGAGGTTATGTTAGTCTCATAACTTGATTCACAGGTTTAGTGGGTTAATCTAATTGACTCGAGTTTTCTTTTTATATTTTTATTAGTATTTTTTAATTTCATTCTTCAATATTGAGTTGATAATGAATTAGACTTTATAATTTATTTTGGTTTACTTTCTATGAGGTTATTTTAATTTTATGACTAGGGTTACGTATTTTGCGGGTTAACTCATATAGACCAAAGTTGTTTTATTATTATAGCATGAATTAAAAGAGATGGTGCTTTTACTATGCTCCACCTCCCAAAACATTATTCATTTCAATAATGTTCTTTTTTTCTTTTAAATCTATATTTCTTTTTCTAATTCCACACATCAATATTTAATTTATTGGATATTAAGATTCATAATTTATTATGATTTTTTTTATACGTAGTGAGTTTGGTCTCATAACTTGTGTCACAAATTTAGTGAGTAGACTTAAATTTTTTGTCTGTTTTAATTAACAAATTATTTTTTAATTTCATGATTCAATATTGAATTGATTAAGAATTAGAATTCATGATTTTTTTTTATTTGCTTTCTATCAGATTATTTCGATCTTATAACTCAAGTAGTACGTTAAACCAATTTACTCGAGTTTTTTTTATCTTTTTTTGATTGACATTTTTTTTACTATTTTATCCTTTAACATTTTTTTTTATGAATTAAGCTTCATGATTTATTTTGGGTTGTTTTATGTGAAATTATCTCGGTCTTATGATTTGAGTCACGTGTTATGTGGGTTAACCAAAGTAAACTCAAGTCGTTTTATTGTGTCATGTATTTAGATTGAGGTTTTTTAATTCACTAAGGGTGATGAATCCTTTCTTAATAACTCAAGTACTTTCATATAATTCATGTTATACTCAATGTATGCCCTTTCATTACTTCAATTAATATAATATGTAACAAAATCAAAGTATAACATTCTCTATATAAGATAATTTAGTGATATCAAGTCTAAGTATCATTTATACAATCATTATGTGAACCTTTCCATAAATATAAATAATTTCTCCATATGAAATTCTCATGCGGGTTAGTTCAATATACATGTCTTATGACACTTAAAAACAATTGCTCTCTTTCATAAATGAAAAAACATAATATTTAACAATCTCTATGACTCTAATAAATATCTAGTATTAAAAAAAACATTGACTAAGAACGTTCAAGTAGCAATGATTTGATGCAATAAAAAACCAATAATTAAAATAATTTTATAATTGTTTTTGTAAAATATTTTTATCTCGTATATTTTATCTTTACTCTAGATTAATAAATCAAATATTAGATTTATTAACATAATATTATAAGAATATTAAAAATAAATTAAACTTGTATCGATAATAAATATATATTTACATAAATATAATAATACAAATCGATTGACTATATAACATATTAAACTAATATAATTAAGATATGCATCTGATTATAGGTGATAGAGGTATCAAACAACCGTTGTTCTTTGGTTGTGAGATTGGGGTTTAGACTATGTTATTGATTTTAATTTATTTAGATTTTTATTTAAGTTTTATTATTAAATTTGATGATGCTCTGGTTTGAATTTTAATTTATTTTTGGTAGGTCTTGGCCTAATCGTTTCTTGTTTAAAATTTTACTATTTGAGTCGGTAAATGATGAATTGATAAAGTTAGACCTTTTATTTTCCTTTACTAATTTTTCTTCCCTTCTTCGACTCTTTTTCCTCTCTTCTTAGATTTCCTTTTCTCTTTACTTCATCTTTCAAATCTTTCGCCTTGCCCCGCATGAATTAGAGTTTATTTAGTTGGATTTCTTCTCGAATCCAAACTAAACCGAACCGAAACAAACTAAACTGTAATGGTTTTATGATTTTTTTCCTTACCGAAATTGAATTGAAATGAGAATGCGAAGCCAACATATTGAACCAATCTGTTCTGATTCGATAATTTGGTTTACACCAAATAAGATTAAAAGGCAATGGAGGTGTATATTATGTTAGCTGAAACGCTTTATTTCATCTGGTGGTTTTTATGAACTCATCGTATATATCATGCTATCTGCTTCACAGAACAAATGGAGATTCAAAAGTTGAAAGCTCCAGGAGAGTCGTTGACTTGGAATGATATTCAAAAGATGAAATATACCTGGTGTGTGGTTTGCGAGGTCATGAGACTATCTCCGCCTGGTCAAGGGGGATTTAGAGAGGCCATAACTGACTTCTCTTATGCAGGTTTTACCATTCCCAAGGGATGGAAGGTATGTCATGGTTGACAATAACTAATATTTTACAGCACCCCTTTCCTCATCTCCAGGATAGCCTTCGCGCTTTGCAGAGCAGCTGTTAGCTTCCAAAACATTCCGCAAATGATTTCAAGCATGTCATATCCACAACATACAGTTTCAATATTCGTTGTGATTCATGAAGCTGGACGCTTGGATTGTTAGAAATAGTGTATCTTATCATGGATATCATATGTACTTTGCAGGTGCATTGGAGTGTACATTCAACACACAAAAATCCCAAATATTTCCCAGATCCAGAGAAATTTGATCCTTCAAGATTTGAGGGGAAGGACATTGAACCATACAGTTTTGTACCTTTTGGGGGAGGACCTCGAATGTGCCCTGGAAAAGAATATGCTCGGCTGGCGATTCTTGTCTTTATGCACAATGTGGTAACACAATTCAAATGGGAGAGAGTGACTCAAGACGAAAAGATCATATACATGTCTATTCCGATGCCAGCTTGTAGCCTTCCGATTACTCTCCATCCTCACAAGAACTGAGTTAATATTCGTGTGGCTCAAGTGTGTCATGGTTGCATCCTTTTGCCGACATCTATAATCGTCAGTTGATGAACATGCAAATTGTTTTTCTTTTTTGTGTGCCCTGTCGCAATTCCTTTCTTCAGATGAATTCTGCAACTCTTTATTTTAACTTTTGATAAATAAATCTTGACGAGTTCAATTAATAAGAGCAAGTGAAAGTTGAAGAATCCAAAGAGTAACAAGATTTGGTGTAGAAACATAGAGAAAATCAAGCTCTTGACAAAATTGTTATACATGATTTTTCGGGTCTCAGCGAACTAGAAATGGAACAGGAAATTAATAAATGGAGCAGGCCAGCCAATCCCCGTCCCTTCCTCGTTTCTCGGCCAACAGCCAAGTTCCGCCGCTTCAGGCGTCACCACCAACATGCTATCAGCTTAACAGATCCTAACCCTCTCCAAATCCTATGGCGAAATCACATCCTGGATCCTGACAGAGACATCGGCACGTATGGGAAACATGTCTTCCTTATCACTTTAATCGTTGCACTCTTCATCGACCCTCTCTACTGTTTCCTGCCCTATGTCGGTCCCAAGCACAGAGACAGAGTTATTCAGACGTTATTTATGTCTGCTTATCCAGCGACAGAAAACTTTCAGTGTTAATCACATATTTTAGGTTCACAGCAGACTTGTTTTTCTTCCTTCACATTCTTATGAAGTTTCGTACAGTTTTTGTTGCTCCAAGTTCAAGAGTTTTTGGACGGTGAGAGCTTGTTATTGATGCTAAGGTGATTGCAATGCGTTCTGATTTCCTTATCGATCTGGCTGCTGTGCTTCCGCTTCCCTTACATGCTTGCTTCATGCAATCTGTTAGCTACGCGAAATAGCATTGGATACATTCAAACCCCACAGAAAGAATACTACTGTAGTGATGATCAAGCAGATGGTGATTACGTAGAGCGGAGAGATGCTATCAATGGACATTGCAGACGATTTCCAGCATCTTGTAGCCAAAATCTTGGCTTCAAACTTTGCTGCAATTACAAAATCGATTTTGGCTTCAAACTTTGCTGCAATTACAAAATCTCCCTTTTTCCAGGAGATGGCATCAGAGGACTGTCTCTTTCCAGGATCTTGTGTTAGGTGTTCGCCATTGGTGGCCGATGGCTCACTCTTTACCAAGAAGCTGCTCCTATCTCACTTTGATGTTTGCAAAGACATTTTATAGCTTCATAAAAAAAAGACATTTTAATAAAAAACAAATTCTACAGAACAATTTGTTCCAAATAAATCATGTTTCCCTTGTGCATAATTTCTCCTACAAGCACAAAGCACATCTCCATCCCTAATTTCCAAACCCATTAAAAGCTAAAATATAGAACATTTTGGAATTTCCATAATGGCCATATGTAAGAAACATTGCAGATTTACAGTGCTTTCCTCAAAAAATTTCATAGGTTTTGTTGGATTTGTAGCCAGAGTTGAATTGTTAACGACAGATTTCTGGTTTTAAGAGTAGGAATGTTGATATATCCTTTCCTTTTTCTGAAAAACAACAGGATTCTGATTCTTGAATAAGAAAAGCACTGTTGCATGAGAGTAGAGGCTGCTACAAGCTATATCAATGAAAATTATGATTGATTTTCCTTTCCATAAACGAGAGAGTAACTTGACTTTTGTTAGTGTTATCTTTCCCCTCTTTGTTCTGGTGTCAGCCCTCCTTCCCCAGAACAAGGACAACTCTTCAACCCAAATTCTTGGCAGTCAAAGCATCTGAAGCCATATTAAATTTCCTCAAAAATAGATAAAAGACAAATTTTGAATGTTGTTAAAATGCCGTAGCAATTATTAATGAATATTAGAATGTACATTTCTTTTAAAATATCTTGATTATGTTATTTTAGTATCTTTTATTATTTCAAATTATATTATAATTACAAATTTTCATATAATCATTAAATCACACACAATATACATTGTAGATTATATGTAGAATTTATATGTCAATCATTTTATCGTAAATCCTTCTCTGCCATTTTAGCAACATTAAATTGAAATATATATATTCTGTTATTATTGATTTTTGTTGCATAAAATATACATTATGTGTATTATGTCTAAGATTATCATATTTTATATATCATTATCGATTATCAATACAAATTAGAGGCACCACCTTGAGTATTTTATATTGGATATTTTTTATTTAACAATTATAAAAATAATATTTTAGTTTGCAATTAAAATAAAAAAAATTAACAATGCCCATATCTTTTATTGTGTGCAATTTTTCTTAAAAACATTATTATTCTAGTACTTTAATTAAAAAATAAAGTTGTTTTGATAATTTAATAATTTAAATTCTTGGTAGTGTTTTTTTAATGTTTCAAAATAAGAGAGAGAGAGTGAACACATGCTTCATGTATATAAAAATTTATTTTAAATATAAGTTTATTTTATATTTTTATTTTCATAGTTTTTCTTGTTAGTTACTAAGCCATGTTAAATTTTATTATATAAATATTAAAAAAAAATTAATGTGAAATAAAAAATATATAAATATATATATTTTATATTTACACGAAAAAAATTATATTTTTTTAATGTATAATAAAAAATTTAAATTCTCCATTTTAGTATTTTTTTAATGTAAAATAAAAAGTTTTGAAATAATTTTTGAAAATTTATAACATGTCATGTGAACTATTTATTTTTTAATTTTTTTAATTTATTCAAATTAACTCATATAATTCTAGACTTGATCTCTTAATTGAGTTAAACTTTAAATAAAATTTAATAACAATAATTTTAATAAATTAAATTGGATCTTGACTGATCTTTTCTTTTCGTGTGAATAAATGCATTAAATAAATGCCCTTAAAAAAATTATGATTTTTCTAAGGTTTACGGTTAAGATTAAGGGATATTTGATAATTTAACAGTAATTATTTTTTAAAATATTTTTTATTTGAAAATATATTAATAAATTATTTTTTATATTAATATATTAAAATATTTTAAAAATATAAAAAAATATTAATTTAAAGAAAATTATTTTAAAAAAAAATATGAAACATTAAAAACAAACGGATGTAACTCCATGGCTTCTCCAAAACACCCTCTTATCATTTCCAATTCCCATTCTCTCCCTCTCCCCACTCCACCTGCAAATAGAGACACATTCATGGCGATTTAGCTCTTCCTCTTCTCCATTTCTTAAATTCCCAAACTACCCACCTCCATTTCCATGGCGAAATCGGATAATTCGAAATCCAAGCTCCCTCCTTACGTCTCCGCCAAAATCCATCCTTCCAACGACCCCGAAACCGATCACAACTCTTACACGCTCGAGAAATTTAGACTTTACGAGACTAGACAGGTAACAGTATTCAATCATTCTCTTACCGCTTTTGATTTAAAATTCATACTTGAATATAGCTAGGTTGTTTTGGAATTTGAAAATTAAATTTGAAAACTGTAGAATTTTGGGGATCTTCGGTATTTAGTGTTTCGTGTAATTGCGGTTCCAATAGTTTGAATTGGTTGATGGTCAATTTTTAAATCTCTTGAATCTTTAGTTTAATTAAGAAATTCATTGTTTCCAGAAGAAATTAGAACATGAATAATAAAACTAATATGATATTTTTGGGTTTTCTTTATCAGAGATTTTATCTAGTTGGGAGTGATAGGAACAAGCAATTGTTTCGAGTATTGAAGATTGATCGATCAGAGCCGTCTGATCTCAATATCAGTGAAGACCCAGTTGTTTATTCACCACAAGAAATAAAAAACTTGCTTCAGCGAATTGCTGAAGGGAATCGTGCCACTGGGGGGCTAAACTTTGTAGTGAAGGCTTATGGTATTGCAGGTTAGTGTTGGGTCCTACTATTTTATGTGTATTTTTGTGTTTTTGATGCTTGGATGTGTTACTGGTGTTTGTTCTTTTGGTGTTTTTAGGCTGCATTAAGTTTCTGGAGTCATATTATTTGATTCTAGTGACAAAGCGTCGGCAAATAGGATTTATTTGTGGTCATGCGATATATGGCATTGATGAGAGCCAATTGATCACCATTCCTCATGTATCAGTTCAAACTGATGTGGCGCATTCTAAAGCTGAGCTAAGGTATTTCCTTCCCTTTGCATGCTGTTGATTGATTGCTTTGTGACCCTTCTCTTTGCTGGGCTAAGGTTTTGCCTTTTCTTCTCTTCATCCAGAATTTTTGGTTTCATGGTTTATGGAAATGCACATAAGAAACACAGGCACAAATGCATTCTGTTCATGATTTTTCTTTCTCATTCTGTTATCAATGCAATACAATGACAAATATGCCTTTTCACTTTACTCTATCCTCCCATTTTGTGTCTCTGTGTGTGTTTCATGTGGTCACTATCACTTCTTATTTGCAGCTTCTTCTTTCCTATATTTTATATGATTGCGGAATTTTCAAGCTCATAGACACCATTATGTGGGAATTTTGTTGGCCATTGTTGCCACTATCATTACCATAGCTTTGCCTAATTATTAGGAAAAGATGTTTTTTGGCATGACTCAAACAATTCAGTTTCTAGCTTGAGATGAAAAACTTATTATTAGACATGTATTTTAAATTAGAAAAAAGAAAAATCTTATATAACCTTTTTAGGATTCTTTGTCCAATTCAATTTGGTAAAGTGCTAATTAATGTTACTACAATTGAGTTATTATACTCCCTTTCCCTCCCATAGCATCAGTTTTAATGTCAAATCTTAGAGAATCTTATTAGGACTATTTTTCAAATTCAATTGGGTAAAGTGCCAATTTTACATTCTACTGCATAGCACATATACTCACTTTCTTCCCCGTATCATCAATCTTTCATATTTCTTATGAATGAAAAATGATTCCTGTTCTCTTTATCCTTACATAGCATCCATGGTTTTTATGGCCACAAAAGTAAGAGGACATGTAGGAAAATTCTTGTTTAGATGAATAAAATAGCCTTGAAATTGCTAAAGAGATTGCTAACCTTGTAAGTTGGAAATGCATAGAGGATCCCCAATCTAGAATAATCAATTTGCATTTTTTTAAGCACTTGATAAAATTCAAGAAGGAAAAGAGGCAAATGGGAGGACAAGAAATCTTCAAAAAGAAATCACAAACATGCATTCCATATTCTTATTTATTGCTATCTATTGATTATGGAGCACAGATGAGGTGCAACCCTTGTATGTATGCTTCATTTTAATAAATTTCTTCTTTATCAAAAGGAAAAAAATCTATGGATGAGAGAATATTGGCATACATATCATTTTAATATTATTTTTTTATTGAGAGCACATATTGTTGTGGCTTTCTTTTCCATGTCTTGCCTCTCTCTCTCTCTCTCATATATATATATATATATGTATATATATTTCAAACAACATAAAATATGAATGCTCTTAGAGATAGGAATATAGTTGAAAGAAAAAGGGAAGGAGAAAGTGTAAATGTTCTTCAAGAGCATAAAACTTGCAATTCATTATGTACGAAGAGAATGTTAGGAATGATTTATCCAACGTCATCTATAATTTGTTATTAAAAAAAGGTAAAACATGAGGAGACAAATTGGAATGGTTGATGTGGCAATTTTTATTTTCTCGCCTTAGTTTCATTTGCCTTTTTTATTTTCTTGAAGCTTTTTAGTATTTCCTTGCACTCTTTTCCTTAGTAGTGCTAGATTCTTTTCACCCCTTGTCTAACACGAGTCTAACTTTTAGTTTCTGAATATTTCTTCTATCTGTTGCCTCAAATGCAGGTACAAAAAGCTATTATCTAGTGTAGATTTGACCAAGGATTTTTTCTTTAGCTACACATATCCTATAATGCAAAGCTTGCAAAAGAATGTGACCTCAATGGGTGAAGATGGGATGCCATATGATAACATATTCGTCTGGAATGCATATCTAACACGAGCTGTTCGGTCTAGATGTGGCAATACTATTTGGACAATAGCATTAGTGCATGGAAATTTTAAGCAGGTTTGCAATTCTTTTTGCTTCTTGTGCCTCTAAATAATCTGTCAATGATCATTTGTCATGCCAAATATTTTACACGGTTTTTGGTTTTTACACGTTGAATATATCTTCGTCATTGTAATCCTGCAGTTACTTTTTTGAGATAATTTATTTTTCAACATGCTTTTGCTCTATTTTTGTGTTTTCTTTTAAGTTGTACTTATTTCAACTATGTTCGTAGCATTACCATATGCTTGTTGATTGTTTGGTTTGATATTCTGTATTTCAAGAAAAATTTTAACCATGGCTCAAATATATTCATATGTAATATAATTTATGCTGGCTATAGATTCATATGCAATATAATTTATGCTGGCTAAAATTGGAAGCATTACAATACTTAATGGAAATGGAGTATGTATTTGAATAAATTTTGAAGATTTGGAGATGCTTGGAACATAATTAGTGAAGAACTGTTTCACAAACTACAAATATGCACGCAGCTTTACCATATTCTTGCTGATTATTAGATTGATATTCTCTATATTAAGAAAAATAAGTGGCCATAGTTATAATTTCAGATGTAATGTAGTTTGTGCTAGGCAAAATTTGGAAGCTTTACTAGTACTTAATGCTAATGGAGTACGAAATTTGGTAAAAAATGGAAGATTTGGATATGTTTGGGACATAATCTGTGAATAACTCTAGCACAAATGACAAATGTATAATTTGTTTCTCTTAAGCTAAAATAAAAACTTCATTTCTGGTTTGAATCTGAGTTATTGGTCTGTAATACATTTTGCTGCTTTATGCCAAGTGATTTTGATTTATGGAAGTAGGATATGCATTTTAATGATCTGGAATTTGTTTCTAACTACATTGTTATCTTATACAAATAAATTCCTTCAATGTGATTTCTTGATAATATCCTTTAAATTTATTCTACTTGAGTGTAATATGTATTTAGCATTTCAACTAATTCTACTGTACTTAATCATGACAGATCAGGCTGTCGATCTTTGGGAGAGACTTTAGTGTTTCACTGGTTTCTAGACGCTCTCGGCATTTTGCTGGTACACGGTATGTTCTGGTTTGAATAAGTTCATCTATGCGTAAAGCTCAGTTGCATCTTCATGTTTTATATTTTAGAAACAAAACAAATGGGTTTATGTCACTGGATTCTGCACAGAGGCTTCCAAGCTTTTTATATTGTGGTTCTCTCTCTCTTTCATATACACAGAGTAGACTGTGTGTTATTTAAAAGCCAGTGACCAAACTGACAGTGGTCCCAAAATTAGAGGATCTTTTTGTAATTTAATGAGTGCATGAACAGAGAGAGACTCTGACTAGTTGGGAATTAAGGCTTAGTTGCTATTTCTGGTGTTGTACTTGTAGAGAGGGATGACTGCATGTATGGTGATGATTTACTGGTTCATAAGTTTACAGCTGAGCTGTGGTGGGAAAGTGTGTAATTACTTACAAAATTGCTGCCTTTGGATTGTGTTGAAGTTGATTTTTATATGGTCAGTTTAGGAGATCAGATGTGACAGGGTGAAGTTATGAAGTCTTCCACCAAACTTGATGTAGGTGTTTCTTTGTACCCTTCACTTTAGGTTGGACTGTGTAATGGTGGCTAATGTTTTTTTTACCCCTTTGATATTCTGGTTCTTTAACTAAAAAATTATTGGTGGGTAAGCGCTTCTCTTTTTCATTAAAATAATCCTTTGGTAGAGGATTTTGTTTCTAAACCAACTTTCTGACACTTTCAGTGAAGATCCCTTTTTCCCTGTTTCTTTAGTCATGCCTCCACCTTTCAAATAAATAAATAGCAAAATCCTTCACAAGACAGATGAGAACTCTAGCTAACAAGTGTGACTAGTTGAGCTATACGTTTTGGGTTGCCCCAGCACCCGTCCACACACACCCACACTCTCTTATGCAGGTTTTGTTTTTATAATTTTAAACTCCCTTGCTATCGTGGAATTTCTGTATTGCAGCAAGATATATTTAGGTTATGCTTTTCTTACTCAAGTTTCTGTAGTAGGTTTGGTCATTTTGAATTTTTGGGTAGTGGATTTTGGGGTCTCAAGTACATCTTCTTTTAGAATCGTGATAGTAGTGATCTTCATTCCGAAGTTTTCAAAATTGATGTGGAAAAGGCATAAGGTCAGAGGTCAGAGGTTTAACCTGAATTGTCTGGCTTGAACAGCTGTCAGATAATATAGATTGAATGTTAAACAAAGGATAAAAAATTGCTTAATTTAATCTTTGTTAATTGTCTCAGTGTCTATGTGCTCATTTGTATCTTAAATCTATTTTAGCATTCTTTCTTAGTCAAATTGGAAAAGTTTCAGCTAACAAAGTATCGAGAAAAAAATATTTTTCCATGAAAGTTTGTTACAACTAGAAGTTTTTCTTCTTCTTCTTGAATTTTATTTTTTGTATAAGTCGAGATTCATTAATAAATGAAACACTGTAGAAGGGCGAGTAAAAAATATAGTGAGGCAAGCAATAGGATACATGATCCTGTGTGCAACTTAAGGCAAACATTAACACATCCTTTCACACTAATAGTCTAATATAAATAGCTTGACTAGTTTCTAATATGTTTAATGTTTATTCTGTGCATGTGAACCACTCTATCTTTGAAAATCCTAGATAGGTAGATCTCTTTCTTTTTTTTCTAATCTTAATTTGAGTCTGAACCTTTCTTCACACTAACATAATTGATGGACCACATGACACTAGGGAATGGAAAAGGGTTGCTTAGGTTGACAACAATCACTAGTTATATGCTCTGTAATTTATTTTTTGAGAATGTATATGCTCCAGCAAATTGCAATGCTAAGATATATACTTGTTTTAAGTCTCATGTCATTTAAAACTAAAGCTAAAAAAGGTACCTCAATAAAATGGCTTAGCACAACCCTTCGGTTTCAATAGACGCATGAGCCTGAGGACTTAAAAAACCAGTAAGTTTAATTGTCTTGGTAATTGTATTTGGCTGCATCAGCATTATTAGTTCCTGGTGAACCTGTTACAATTGGTCACCATTATTAGTTCTAGGTCAATCAATTAAAATTGGTTTGGGTGAGTCAGGTCGGCAGTCCAAATGCCTGACACAGCCGGTATTTGACCAGGTTTGACTGCAAGTTTCTCTTATAGCTGAACTGGAATTAAGGTCTGCTCACAGGAACCCTGGTTGAACTAAGAACCCTGGTTGAACTAATTCTATTTGACAAACTTGATTCATTTGACTTCTTATGTTTTAAGTTTAGAGATCTAATAATGAGATTCATGTTCCTAATGACATTATATGTGATATAATCTACACATTATGGTCTGTGTTTGTTTGTGCAGTCATCTGCCATTACATCATTACATTGTCCTTGTATGAATGTCTGTACTCTGATTGCTCAAGCCACAGTATGCTTCATTATGGTTATGGGTATTATTTGAATGATTGTGGTGGCCTGTTGGAAACCATCAATTTTCATTTGTTTTGTGTCCTTGTTATCATTGAAGTTATATCTGCTTATTTCAGAGAAGTGTTCTAACCAAGCATAACAACCTTTTGTAATAACTTTATGTTGATTGAGTGCAGTTACTTGAAAAGGGGAGTTAATGATATGGGAAGAGTTGCAAATGATGTTGAAACAGAGCAAATTGTCCTTGATGAAGACGCTGGATCATGCAAGGGGAAAATGAGTTCTGTTGTTCAGATGCGCGGTTCAATTCCTCTTTTCTGGTCACAAGAAGCTTCACGATTTAGTCCTAAACCTGATATAATCTGTAAGGCCATTGATTTGACCTATTTGATTAGTTCATTGTTGAGTCTCGCAGTGATGTAGATCACATAGCACCTATCTTCTTACAAAGAAGTCTTCTGATATTATTTTTCAATCTATATTAGTGCAAAGGTATGATCCTACCTATCAGGCGACCAAATTGCATTTTGAAGACTTGGTGAAGAGATATGGCAGTCCCATAATTGTGCTTAATTTGATTAAGGTTATTTTCATATTTATTTTTTGTGCATAATGTATTCGAGACTCTTGTTAGATTCCTTTGATTGTTGCCTTCCTTAAATACTGATTCTGTTTGCTGTATAGATCTTGCATTATCGTACTTGATGCAATTGAATAATTCTTGCATTTGATTTAATTTACAAAGGAAATCACCAGATTAGAGTTGGCTTTCTTGCATGTTATACTATACCAGCAAACCCAAATTACTTGCTCCTTACAGTTTCTTTTGTGTATGCCTGCTGATTGTTCCTTGCAGGACTTTCAAGTATGCAGCTTTTTCAACTAGATTGTCATTAAATGGCTGTTGTTGCATTGTTTTCATTTATTTTCAATACCTCCCTGGGCATTAATAAATGGTTACCTGAATTTGTTTTTCTCATTCCTAAACTGGAAAAACATATTAAAATGATGAGTGCTTTTTTCCACACTTGATTATATTATCATAATTAACAAAAGCTTATCAATCAGCTTTAATATATCTCTGGAGAATGTGGTGATGTTTCTGTTTAAATGGTCCTCTTAAAGTATACCATCTTTCCATTATACTTCACTCTTGGAAGAAGTACATGATTTGGCATTTCCTTTTTAACTCTCTGTTTATTGAGGATCTGGAAGTTAAAGAAACCATTTCTGAATCTGTTTTAGTTTCTGTGATAATTATGAATTATGGTCAGCCTCATCAAAATAATAATTCAGCTTTCACACAGTGACAATTTTTTTCTTTTGTGACATTCTCTTGTTTAACTTCAGTGGTTTATCTAATTGTCGTAGTTTTCACTTATCAACATGCTTACCACAAATTGGAATGCCTTTTCTATTGCTTTATGTCATCCTGCATGTCATTTAAATGCTCTAATGCAGACTGTTGAAAAAAGACCTAGAGAAATGATGCTAAGGCGTGAATTTACAAACGCGGTTGGGTATCTGAACACGATTTTTCCAGAAGAAAAACAACTTCAGTTTATCCATTGGGACTATCACAAGTTTGCAAAGAGGTACATATGCATCTCTTTTCACCTCAACTCTAATTTATAACTAACAACCATCTTGAACTGACTACTCTTCTTTTTTGTGTTTCCAAAGCAAGTCTGCCAATGTTTTGGCTGTTTTGGGTGCTGTGGCAAGTCAGGCACTTGATTTGACTGGTTTTTACTATAGTGGTAAACCTAGTGTTGTTAAGAGGAGAGCAAACCAAATTAGTCGAACAAGCACCGGAAGGTATTCCAGTTTCTTTAGTTGTATTATTTATTTAAACAAACTTATAGCGTTTATGTTACTTCATGACTGGAACTTTTCATGTAACCTTCAACTCAGGTCTCTTGGATATAAAGTTTTTCAATGCCTAATATTCAGTTTCTGAGATTTTGGGTCATCCATCGTCCCATTTTATTTTGGTTATTTTGGTCTTTGAATTTTGTTTTTAAACCATGGGTGTTGAAGTGTTAGTAGCAATTCATTGTAAAAAAAACACCATTAAGGTGCCAATGTGTGTGAGAGAGCGATAAGTTATATTACAGTTATGTAATTCAAGGTCATCGAATATTCACGATTAATGCACGCACGATATGAAGATTTTGAAGCAGCTTTTACCATTATAACTTCAAGAACATGTGCTGTGGTGGATGGTCAGATTTTCTTCTTTCTTTTTTTTTATAATCATTGCAATTTGGAAAAAAAATGACTGTTAAGTGTGTGATCTATCCCTTGCATTTGTAAAAAGGTATTATAATCAATTACAAGCATGGTAACCTTGGACCTTAAGAAACCTGAAAGTAGAAAGCTTTCTTTTGTGCTTGGAAATTCTGTAACCCAGGGTGTCTTCTTTTCTTTTGGCAATTTAGTGTCTCTGTTGCTGAAAAGCATAAAATTGACCATGTCTTTCTGTCAAGGCTGTTTGCTTTATCATTTCATTGCTTTTGTTTTTGAAATGAAAACCTCCAATTTCAGAGAAAATTATGGAGCAGGAAATGGGAGGTTCCTTTCAAAACAAGATTATGTAGACTGTGGGTTTCATAAATAGTTGACTTTATTCTTTACAGGGACGCTTCTCTTAGAGATCTAAGAGTCAATTCAGGGGATCTTGCAAGGATTGGAAGTAATAATGAGAATCTAAATTCTTTGATTAATTGGGATAGAGAGGGTGATTCTAGTCAACTGAAAAAACAAGATAAGGTTGGTGCTGATGGGCCACGTTTTCAAAGTGGAGTTCTACGCACCAACTGCATTGACTGCTTGGATCGTACAAATGTTGCTCAGTATGCTTATGGTCTGGCAGCTTTAGGACGCCAGCTCCTTGCAATGGGTCTAACAGACATGCCCAAAGTCGATCCTGATAGTTCCATTGCTGCTGCTCTTATGGATATGTATCAAAGTATGGGGGATGCTCTTGCCCAGCAATATGGTGGTTCTGCTGCTCATAACACTGTATGCTTTCTCTCGAATAACTTCGGTTTCTATGATCTAATTTGCTCATAACTGTGGTCATCATATCAAGGCCTGGACTTTTTCAGGTGTTCCTTGAGAGGCAGGGAAAGTGGAAAGCTACAACACAATCTAGGGAGTTTATCAAGTCTATCAAGCGATACTACAGTAATGCATACACTGATGGTGAAAAGCAAGATGCTATAAATTTGTAACTGTTCTTTCCATCGCGCTTTCTACTTGATTTATTGCATAATTTACATTCTCTGGCTAAGCAAATGAGGTGAATTTTCAATGCCCAAACAGATTTTGTAAATTCAAGGGAGTTTTTGATTTCCAGATTTTATCGTCACTAGTTCTTGATTATGGAGACTATATAGATAAGTGTGCATGTCAACTTTTGTAAAGATACCAAAATGCACTTCATTATTATTTTTGCCTGAAACACTTTTTTTTTAAATTATTGTTTAGTAAAATATGAATCATATTCTATTTGAAATGTATCCTCTTTGGAGAGGCTTCTACTCTTAATATCTATGATTTTCCAACCATGGACTCCATTTTCAATAAGTTTCATATTTCATATGTGGATAAGAGATATATCTAACAAACTAAATCAGAAACTTTTGACTGAATTCTGGGAATTCCAAGACCACAGTGTAGGTTTTGTTACATATAACCAAAACCAAACACAAAAAGCTAGAACTATATTCCATGTTTTATTAGTGTGTGTACTTCAGTATTTGATTATATTTGTATGCAATATTAATTTTTTTTATTTTCTTAACTTATTTTGTATGATTAAGAGATTGTTTGGCATTGCGTTTTAAAAGTGCGTTTGACATGAAAAAACATCAAATTAATGTTTTTTTTTAGTGCTTTCTAATGGTTTTGATGTACTAGTGTAAAAAATGAAAAAAATAATAATATTTTGATGCATTTTCAAGCGAAAAGCACCTTGCTCCACAATACCAAATGCCATCTAATACTAGTTTTGGCATGCATTTTCTGTGAGTGTATTCTGAGATTATCTCTTTGATGCTTTCCAGATTTCTTGGCTACTTTCAACCACAGGAAGGGAAATCTCCTCTTTGGGAGTTAGATTCAGACTACTATCTTCATGTCTATGGGAATGCAATAGAAGAAGAAGACCCCTGTCCAGATAAGTGGTAAATTAAAAAAAGAAAAAAAAATTAGAGTAGGTTGGTTCAAATTCAATACATCTCATCTTCTGATTATTTTATTGTATCTTACTTCAACAGCAATTTGGAAACCAATGCTAAGCCTGTAAGAGTTGGAATAACTCTTGCCCCTATTCCAGCTTGCAGGGAGGATTTTTCAAGAATGAAGTTGACATCATTTGATAAATTGATTGACCGGACATGTAGTACTGTAAAGAATGTAAGACTTTATAGTGAACCTGATCACAGACCAGGTGGCAGTGCAGGAAATTCTGGTGTGGCTCCAGATGCAGCGTAATTTTTCCCTTGACTAGAGCTGTTAACTTGTTGCCTGATTTTATCATTTTTTTTCTCTCTGTTGGATGCGTTTGGGTGCACAAATCTGTTTTTACCTCTGAAGTGCAGACATCTTTTATGCGTGGTTCAGTTTTCTTAAATCATCAGTTGCATGAGTTTCTGATGTCTTCAAACTGTTATCCAGGATGTGCTGTGCCTCACATTACTATACAAATTTTGTGTTTATTTATTTCAGCACTGACTATACCGCATTAGTTGAAAGGATCATAGGAAACTTTTGGCCTTATTATTTGGCCCTTTTAGTGTAGTGAAACATAGCTCTTTGCATTTAGTACAAAGTTTATTGGTTTGTTTTCTTCCTTCTTAGCCCTTAGCAGGTTTGGTATTGAGACATAAAATGAGATGTAAATAAGCTAAAGGAATATTAGGATTTCTTCAAGGATACTGATAATTTCAAAAACACATTAAAAAAGTTTAGCAAATTGAGATTTTTTCAGTATTTTGCCTAGTTTGGAATTGGCAAAAGTAACAATTTGATGTAGTTTATGCTGATTTATGTCCTTATCCTTTAGACACAGTGTATTTGCATTGGAGAAATTTCTTAAAATGGTCCATTGATTGTAAATTTTTTTCATTATTTTGTCCGTAGTTCTGATTTTGATTCGCACTTGCCTCTTGCCTGCTCTGAAATGGGTTGCTTGGGTGCATGAAGTTTGTAAGATGTATTCGTGACTTTTTTCAAGTGCTTGCTATACTCACTGAATATGCTTTCTTTTGCAGTGAAATACAACTCAAAAGCCCAAATTGGCTTTTTGGCCAGAAAAAGTATGAAGAGAGTGGCAATGCCCCCAAGGCTGCTAAAAGTGAAATTGAAAATGGAGCATCTCAGAAAGAGATTTATGTTGATGGTTACTCAGAATTAAATTTGCTTTCTTCTGTTGATGATATCAACGAAGAGGATATCTTCCAAAGGTACTTTTAGATATTGTCTTCCCATTTTCCAGAGAGAATACATTACTCTTAGACTTTCGTTTCTGAATGCAATGCCGACCAAATTGGCTTTCTATTAGTCAAAATTGAGCTTTATTAATGGTTTGTGAACCAAGAATGGATCTAAACACCTCATACTTTGCTTGCTCAAGCTGGCATTTTTGGCTATAGCTTGAGTCTTGGGCAAAATTATCACTCACCATTCACATGTAAATGCATGTCAGCGTGTGGGCATGCGTATGCAAATTCCTATTAGTTTTCTAAGTTGGATGATAAAAATTTGAATACTGCTCTTTGATTAAGAATTTTAATTGATTCTGCAACTATATTCACTAAATTTAAAATTCATGCTAGTCATGTGGTTGCAATTTCTATGATTCGTACTCTTTTTGTTTATTTATCTATTAATTTTTGTGGCAACTCAAATCAATGGCAATTGTCCGGTTGTGGTTCGGTTTCAAGGTACCTTGCAATGACTGCAGTTGATGAAAGCGGCTGGTATGGTGGCACACTATTAGGTGATCAAGATGAAAGCAGTGAAATATATAAACATTATGCTGAATTGTGCCAGGTAAATTGATTTAGGCTCCAAGTACACTTGACAAATAGGCACGGAGACATTTACAACCTGATGAAACCTTCTTGGCATGCCATATTTTGCACGGTGCTGTGTTTCATACTGTGTGTGTGTGTGTGTGTGTGTGTGTAGAGAGAGAGAGAGAGAGAGAGAGAGAGAGAGCAAAACGTTGAAATGAATGTCTAATTCATAGTTCATTGAACATTTGTTATTTTAACAAACGGTAATTGGACCAGCAGGGGGCAGCTATGGAGCCCTTCGAGCATGATCTGGATAGGGAGAAACACTATGCTGATGTTCTACGCATGAACGCAATTGATGTTTTAGATGATTCCGCTGTTGAAGCAGAGATGGAAGATGCTCTCATGGATTATGATCGCATTGGTGCTGATCTTGGGATTGTACCAATGTCATGCAAATCCTTTGCTGCAGATCCAAGTTGGTTGACGAGATGGATTATTGGGGAAGAGAAGGTAGAAAAGATCGAAAGCTAGCTTCTGCATGCGCTATATGACTGTTGTAAGCACACATAAGAGTGTCCAGTTCTCGGAAAAAGTAAATAACTGTTTACATAAATAAATAGAAAAATGAAAGTATATAGTTGTTTGTAAAATATGCAAAGGCGTGAAAATGCCCTCTTAATTCAGGCATGAATTACATCTTATATGTAGACTTGATATACACACTCTCAAAAGGAAATTTCAATCGGCTGCAAAGTTTGTTTCTTGTGTTCTATAAAAAATGCCTTGGATGCCCCCCTCAACAGTTACATAGCAATAAGTTTGTCTGTTTGTGTTTGTGAGTCGGTATTTAGAGAATGCATTGTTCTTTCCTTTCTGCAAAATGGTTTTTACAAGTGCTAGGCAGAGTCACTTCTGGTGCACTGCCACAGGGGGGCTGCATCTTGAAGGTGCCCTCCATTTCCTTTGCCTTGGCCTGAGTTGCTCCAACAGCTGCAATAAATTCTTCATGGAATGTGCTTGTGGAAAAAAAATGGTCAGGACTGCTTTCTTTACTCTGAGGTGTTGATTATTAAACTTCACGTCTCTGTCTTGAAATAACAACTTTATACTCTTTGTGTATTGACTGTTAACATTGCAATATTGGATACGGAAGCGGGTAAAGAATTTTGCAATGCTACTCTATCTTCAACTACAAAGTAATTCTCAAAATTGGAAAAAAAAAAAGAAGATAAAATTCTACGAGCAATATGTAGAGGATAACTCAAATAATTTATAACTAAAACTTGAAACGTTATTTTTGTCTAAATTAATTGTAAACCAAAGTTGAAAACTCGAAGCCTGTAAACCAGTTTATGGACATGAGTACGTTTATTGTGTTCTTGAAAAATTTCATATAATTAGAAAGGCTTACCATTTACGTTCAATTTTTAGGACAGGTGGGAAGGGAAGAAAACGTTTTTAATGCACCAGTTTGCTTTGGATGTGGTAAAGCTTAAGAGCTGATTAAAAAAAAAGAAAAAAAGCCCTAATCTCGACTTGCAAACACTTTATGTACTGTAATCTGATCATATATATATGTACATGTTCTTCCTTGGGCTATTGTTTTAAAACTTAGATTAGCCTGCAGGTCAATTTGTCTTATGATTTACGTGCAAATTAAAATGTGTTTTATATACTTGATTTGGTTCATGATCTCTAGTAATGAACCGGCCTTGTTTAATCAAAAAATAAAATTGCGTTTAACAAATCAATAAAACAAGGTGTTTTTTACATAACATGTTTAATAGTTTTTTATAATAATTTTCGAGTTTTTAATATGAATTTGAACGTTCAATACATGTTAACTCATAAAATTATAAGCTTTTATAAGTCTGATTTTTACAACGAGTGATTGAAACAATTTTAAATGTCTATGCAATGGCAGTTGTAGGTAGAACTTCAAATTTTGTCTCTGATGTGCTCATTTCATCTTTTTAACACATTTATTATCGAATTTTTAAATAAATCTCAAATTGTCAAGTTGTTAGCAATCTGGATATGGCTGCGGAGATCTAGGGTAGGATTCACGGCCATTCTGTGTCGGGGTTGTCATGTTGCTTAATAGTTGTAGGTTATCTCTTCTTGGCGGTGGCTGGGTGTGTGCCTCAAGGAAGTCGGAACATGAAAGAACCAGGAGTCAGTATAGTTGGAGTCCAGTAAACAGATCATATAGTTGGAGTCGGAGCTTTAAAAGGTCATGAAGTGCGGATTTTGACCGCAAGACGTTGCAGCACTTGACCTCCCTCCCCAAGGTGCAAAGTCTAGATTTGAATTGTAATGTTTCTACATTTTCTTCAATGAGGTTCTTTAATGTTGATCTTGTTTGTTTTTTAATGAGAAGCTCTGATTCTTAATTAATTAAAATCACAATCTATTCTTCATATGGTTATAATTTACATGGATTTAACCTGATTCTCACAACAGGTGCGGAAGAACAAATTTGTTTAGAAACATCTAAACTTTCATCTCCAGACGCAGCGTGTAAAAACAGTTGTAGCTGATGGAGTAAAGGAGATATGGTTGAGTAGTGAAGACACTGGATCATGTGGTAATTTTCTGATGTTTCTACCATTGGATATCTGCTGCAGATATGAGATTATTTTCTGTCAAGAAATCTTGTTTCTAACGAATTCTCTATTAAAATGATTGTCACACATCATTCCATGGTCTATAAACAACAGATGCTTATTTTTGCTATGTTACTGTTTGAAGGTGCTGCTGATCATCAACATTTCTTACCTATGTACATGCTTCGCATTGTGAAAAATTAATTATAAAATTCACCATGTTCATATCATGCAGTGAAATAGCATGTTGCTGCTCAGCAGAAAGAGTTTTGTTCCATGACTCGTGAAAAGTTTAATGCTTAGAAACAAAATAAGTTGAGATGTTAATTATACTGGTTCTTCACAATACAAATTGTTGAACAGATTGAATTTCCTGAAACCTTACAGGTTGTGAAATTGGGGTTAATCTTCCAATATTATTGAATGCTATTGTTGCTGAACTTCCTTCTGATGCAAGCACAATGGTTCGAATTGGGATGACAAATCCACCTTTCATTCCTGAACACTAGAAAGAGATAGCAGAAGTTTTGCGCCATCCATGTGTGTACTCCTTTCTTCATGTACCATGCCGGCTGGAAGTGATGCCATTTTGACTGTATGTCCCAATATTGTTGATCTTTTCTTTTTAGTGCTGATAGTGGCTTCTCCTTACCCCTGCAACCCTAACAACGATTCCAGCTGTGGTTTTATAATTTATGTTAGGGTGGCTGCTAGAAAATATCATTGTATGGGATCTCCTATGTAGATATACAGGGTCTTGTTGTCAGGCAATGAATTGAGAATACACTGTGAATGTATTCAGGACTGTGGTTGACACCTTGACTGAGCTAGTTCCAGAAATGCAGATTGCTACCGATATAATATGTAGATTCCCAGGTTAGTTTGCAGACTCAGATGTCCAGTTCGCGGTCCTTTATTTTCTGTAATTTACCATGTCTCACTTGTTAATTGCATATTTCTATAATAGTTTTCACAGTAGGTTACTGGTACACTTTTTGAGTGAAACTGCTCGAGTGAACTATCTAAGATAGTGATATGACATGTAATTTCTAGATTGTGAAATCATATATGTCACTAGAGATATTTGGTACACCCTTGGTCGGGTAATAATTGACCCTTTGTGATTTTTCAAAACCAATATGACATACTTGCGACTAGTATTTTGTTTTCAAGTTAATTAGTATATATTTAACAAAAAGGTTACTGAAGATATTAACTCTGTTAAAATCAATTAAAAAGAGTAGGTCAAAGTTAAAATCTGACGACTTTTTGAATTGACCGGGGCAATAATTATGGTGTTATTCAGTGTAATTGTTTATTTTCCTGTGTTTCTTGTCCATTTCTTTCTGGATCATCAAATGTAAATTGAGTTGCTCCATTATGAAAACTCATGACTATATCATATGCATATTATATGGGGAAAGACATCAGTTATTTCTTTTTGTAGTTTGAGGGACTGCTGCATTGCGTGTGCACACCTTGGTCATTTTAACATCTAGTATGTAGTTTTCACCTTGAGTGTATTATGAAAATTTATAGCTGTGGTACCCACACCATAATGGACGAAGCGCGTAATGGCATCTACTCCTTACAATGGAATGGAGGGCAGAGTGGAAAGAATATGGATAACAGATCGCAACAGATGGAATTCACTTGTTGACATAGAAATATCTAAATGAAACACTCTCGTTCCTAAGGCCAAGTTGCTGTTTATATTTTATTGTCTAATAAATTGGATCTAGGTGGTCATGAAAAGGCTACTAGGATTGCATGTTAATCCTTCTCTGATATGTTTTGAATGTTCTTATTTGTTTCTCATTTCTTTTGAAACCAACTTGCTTGCACCGACTTAAAAATGAGAGCCCCTCTCTTTTTTGGCTCAGTTCAAACAGGACACTTGCTTCTTCTTCTTCTTCTTCTCTCTCTCTCTCTCTCTCTTTTTCCTGGAACTGAATGGCGAGCTTTCTTAGTTTATGATTCGACCTCTTATTTCACTTTTCTGATTAGTTTTTTTCATTTCCCTAGGTTGGCCACACAAAAGCATACAAGCAGGTTCTCATAGTTGCTCCAGAAAGCATGCTTGGTGCTTCAGCTATTGTCAAGATAACCTCTGTTGGAAGGTGGTCACTAATTGAGACTCTCCACCAAATAAATCAGAAAACGAAGTCGGTGGAGAAAACACTCGAGTACAAATGTTCTCCCTGTTCTGACCCATGTGAGTGTTGTGAATATTCAAGAGAGACAGAAGCTTGTGCTTGTGGGGATCAGAGAGCTGTGTAGGACCGACTACTTTAGAGCAAAGTAACATTTCTCAGAATGGCATGCTGCCAGAAGACCGAAACAAAAGAAATCTCATTGGATGGTTCCTAAGAAAGTGGGAAAATCAGTCACAAAAAATGGCGGTGAATGGTACTGCCTCGGGATCCAAAAAAGAAGCAAGACTGGGCCAAAGGAGCGGGTGATTGGGTGTTGTGGATAGGACACTTCTAGGAGGATTAATTGTCAGCTTTTTTACTGTTGTAGCCTCACTAATACATGTTGGATTTAGGACCGTGTCATCCTAGTCAACTATATATTTGTAACTTGTCCTGTTTTTTTGGGGGGTCATCTTCATAGAAGATTTGACACGTATGGAAATTCTTGTTTTGTAAATGGCAAGAGTTCTGTTCCAATGTTATCGAGGGGATAGCACAACTCTACTTTGGATTGCCAATTCTTTGGGAATTGTGGAATGCACTCCTTTCTCTTGGAATGATTTACATGCTTAAGCAGATCCGCTTGTTCATACAGATCCACTGCTTGATCTTTGAAGCTGCTTCAGTGTGTAGCCATCATTTTTGTTTCGCTAACTTTTGGGGGGCGTTGCATATGATTCATGAAATACAAAATATGATTGCTTATTAATAGTACAGAATATGGAATAAAGAGAAAAAAGAATAGTGGGATTCCATGCATGGGACTGAAGAAATGTGGGGCATGCATATTCAGCAAAAGTAAGATTCTTTTGCGGAGTGGGTTGTCAGGGGAGAATGAACCTAGGTGCTTTCCTGCTGTCATGACATTGATGGAATTACGTACTGGATCATCTTTCCTCGACCAGAATCAAGCAAATAAGGAGTTTTAAGTTATAATAGCTTCCAATTCATCATAGTAACATATCTGTTTTGGACGGCAATCTCTTGAAGAAGTTGACGGGCACAGTGGGCATCTTGCTCCTGAACCTGGGATGTCGAAGCAAGTAGAGTCCAACCAGCACTGCCACTACCTGGAATGGAGTGACATAAATAAACACTGCCCAGATTAATGAAAAGAGGATAAAGATTGCCGTCGCCCTTGGGTCCCTCCAACTTAGTAGTGCCTGAGCTCTTTCCCCCTGGCTTGCCACATCTCCGACCACTGTCTGCACCCTACCTGCAACATTTCTCAGCCTATCATATCTCATCCTCACAATATCTGATGGTGACCGGGATGCTGGGAATGAATCAAATTCCTCATCAAGTTCATCTGGATGCGCATTGTGTGCCTGTGAAAGCCTAGTATCCATGTGTGGTGGGTGCCTTGGCCTGAACCGATAATTCCATAACCCAATCGCAAACAGATAGAGGAAAATTGTGGGCAGTATCAACTCTGGATAACAAATCAGTATAAATAACAGAAGGTGCACGAGACATGTTGTTATTGGATTTCTCCAGTTGCAAATGTCATTGTACCATTTACAGGCAGCAGTGATCCCTGAAAGCAGCGACATTATGCGAAGAAAATTAGCTTTGCTTCTCCTCAAGCTCCACTTATGGTAATCCACATCCAACATGTACTCCACAACCTCACGTCTAAGAGGTGGCTCAGCTCTTGATAGCCTTGCCGCCACTATCTGCATAGCATGGTGGCGAAGCAAATTAATGTGCATAACCGAAATTGGTTGGACATAATGCATTTTAGGAAGCAATGGCTTGCCATATTGAGTCACCATATTAACCCAAGCTGTGCATGTAAACCTCAATGCCAGCTGAAGTTCCCCGTGCTTCCTTAATCCAGAGGGGGTAAGAACTAGCAACGGATAGTAATGTGTATATTTTCGATCAGTTTCCAATGTTGATAGCCGAATCCTTATCTTCCCAATTCTCTGATCTCTTGAATCATCTTTGCTTCCATTAATATGGCAATTGTCAAAGACACCGAGGGTGATCACAGTGCAAGGATCATAAACTTCCCAAGTATACTGTTCATTCCAACGAGGATTCAGAGTATCGAGAATTGTCCTGGTTCGAACCCATTTGCTGCCATACTTCGCCGCACAATATGCATCAGTGGTCCTACCATCCTTCCCCTTCATTGGTAGCAAATTTCGTGCACTGCGAATCCCAAGTTCAAGGATACCAATACTTGGCTTCCTGAGGTGCTTGGATGATGGTTGTAGATCACTGCTAAAATGTGTAGACTCGTCAAGAACATGATACCCTGCATCTAAACAGAGACGGAGCAGGATCTTGCTTGAGAATTTCTCTTTCTTCTTCTCACCTTCCTCTTGTGCCAACGAAGGCTTGAAGAGATTAAACCAGCAAGGATCTGGGAACTTGTGAGTCTCGAGTCTTGCTGGGATGTCCCTAACTGATAAAATCACCCTTCCAAGTATCTCATCCTTGCCTGGCCCTATCCTGTCCTCAACAGACACAATTATAAAATCCTCAAAAGGCTCAGATGCAACAAACATTAGCTCATCATTCCAAATTGGATTGATGCTTCGCGTCTGCAAAGACCTAGTGACCCTTCCCTGATTACCAAGTTGAACTTTTACGAACACTTCCAGCATGCGACCCTTATCGGAGGGGATAAGATCTTGAGCTTCAATGATTTGAACTCTAAGGTAATACAGCTTCGGCGAAAAGTATATCTTCGATCGTGTGTTGGCGAGGTTTGTATGACTAATGTCATGAGCATCACTATGCCACGCTTCAGGAAATGACTCATCAGCCTGTGTTCCCATCCATACTGCAAGCATAATCTCTCCTTTTGTCTTTATCCCCCTCTTGTCCTCCAATCTGTACCACTGAGGAGCCAGTGGACTATCTGGGGGCACGCGAAGAGGCACTTCAGATAAATCAAAAAACACTCTGCCCACAAAATCATCCTTGGTGACAAAATCCTTATCCTTCACCGTAACTTCAAGTAAATTGGACTGCAATCTATCCTTTGAGAATGCAAAAATTTGCTTCCAAACCGGGCTTTGGTTCTTCTCCAAGTATTTAGTCTTGCCTTTATAGTTCCCAAGCTTGACTTCAACGTATGGATCAAGACTCCCAGAAACATCCATAGCAGGAAGATCTTTGGCCTTAACCACACTCACATACAAGTAACGCATCTGCTCCACCAAATCATAAGCATATGCCATCTTGTCCCCTCCTCTGTATCGCATACGGGCAGCAACCGGTGGACTGGTCTCTACCAGCAAGAATTCCGGATTCTGCTTTGGCATATGCATATGCATTGCAGTAGGTGGCCCAGCTCGAGCAAAATCAGTTCTTGTCTCAACTGTAGGAGCCTTTTCTTTCATAACATGAGTCTCAAACCCGAACCCGGAAGATACAAGAGGTGGAGCGGCAGCGGCAGGACCTCCAGTTGCAGTCCCTATAGAATGAAAAGTCCTAACTTCTTTATCCTTCCTTTTCTTCTTATTCTTCTTCTCATGATCATCAATGGCATCTTCTGCTTGAAGCTTGTTGGTGTTGATTTCTTGGAATACTGGAGTTGCTTCAGTTACAAAATTGCCAGCATTTGTTGGAGGATAGTGGCTACCATCATGGACTGCATAAATCTTGAGTGATATATCACCTTTGATATGCGAGAAAAGGCCACGTTTCTCAAGAGGGTATCTCTGAAGATCAATGGTCTCGGAGTCAGATAATAAAGGCACAGAATTTCCAGAGATTCTAACATGGCCAAGAAAGTTCTTGTGGTGACCGCCTTTTCGATCATTGTACACAACAACTTCAATGGTCTTGCTGGGAAGATATCTTGGATTGTTAACATTGAAAGAAAACTTTTCATTCCAAACAGGGTTAAGTTCTCTAGGCTTGGTTTGAGTCCTATGGCTTTGTTCATCGAAGTGTACTTCCACAAAAGGACTGGCTGAACCTTGGCCGTCTTTGGGCATAAGGTCACATGCATCATGAACTTCTACTACTAGTTTGGCCATGGCGTGATGGAAGTTTGAGGGGGAGGGTTGAGGGGGTTTGTGAAATCTACTTGGACAATAATTTGATAGCTAAAATGAAAGGAATAGAGGTAGTGGGTGGTGAAAGAGCTGGATTAAAGGAGAAGAAAGAAATGAATGGTAGGAAAGGGAATGGAAGATAGGTGGAGAGAAGGGTGGGGAGGTGGGTGGAGATGCGGTGCTCATTTTGGAGTACGAAGACAAACATATGAAGGAAAGAGAGCTAAGTGTTGTTTTGGTGGTAATGAGGTGGCCCCCCTATGTCATTTACGTTCATGTATCTTTGATAGAGGCTGATTCTGGTGGGCACGTTGAACATTTGTAAGTTTATGTGTGTGGTTGTGATGATTTTCTTCGATGGGGGATGAATTCTGTGTTCTAAGTGATCACTTCATTCTTGAAACTCATTGAAGGTTTTTCTAGAGGCAATCCTTCCTTCCTTCCTTCCAATAGGTTCTCTCCTTTTTTCAAGGTATCAGGCAGGTCCATTACAACAATGGAGATTGTCTGGTCTGTCTGGTCTTTCAGCCTAAAAGGCAAGCAATTTGATAAATTCTCCTTTTCCCAGGTAAAGCAGATTGATTCTCCCTTTACGCATCAGTGAGCTTGCTTTTTGCATAATACTAAATCCACACAGCATCTTATATTTCTTCTTTAAATATTGCTGAGTTTTAATCATGAGGGTTCTTCTGTAGGTTTAATCTACCTGAATTCTTTCTCAAGAAGTTGCAAGCTCACTTCTCCATCTCCATCCCCGCCCCCACATTGTCTTATTTTCTTTTCTTGCTCTAGATTCCTGGACCCTAACAGAGGGAAACCTCTCCATCTCCCTCCCCACACTCATTATTTTCACTTTTGCTCCGTTGTTTCTTTTTGATCTGCATTATTTTGAAGGCATCTTTTGATGGTGTGTCCAAAGGGTCCCCAAACCTTTTCACAAAGTTTGCTAATGCGGGAAGAGAACACAGTATCTGGATAGGGTTAGGATAGTTTCTGTTTTCTAGCACAAATATCAGATGACTATGGCCATTGATCATTCATCCTCCGTCATGTCTAACTACAAAAGTCCATCCATCCTACGGCCTGCATCTTGCTGGATGGCAACGATGAGGAACTATACGACAGGCATTTACAGAACTTATGATGCCAATTATAACCCTCCTCCCACCAACAATTGCCTCAAGAACATTTCATGGTGATAATGTTATACATACGGTATAAGAAAGACAATCAAAAAGGAGGATTCTTATCACCTTTTTCTGGAGGACCAACCATGATTTTTCTTTTCTACTGTGTTCATCTCTTTCTTACCTTCAATTATTTGATAGTTATAACTTGAATATGATCAACTTTTTCAACATATTATGTAAATAAATAAATTTCTTAATATTTTTTAAATGCATTTCAAGACAGCTTAAATATCGCTTACAGTAAAAGATAATTTAAATTGTCTTGATAAACAATAAAAATACTAAAAAACTTAATTTAGAGATAAAAATCATTTTTATAATCAATTTTCAGACTCCAATTTTCCACTACACATATTTCTTGCCTCCA